AGAGAAAGAGGGAGGAAGGAAGGAAGGAAGACTGATTTTAGAGCAAAAGAGGAAGTAGGAATGATGACTTCAATCCTCCAGAAGGAGATAATGGCAGTTTGGGATAATGTTTTAGGAGTCACTACGGGGAGAAGCACTGGGTTACATGTACATTTTGAAGACTGAGCTAGCAGCATTTGTTGATGGTTGGGTGGAGAGTGTAAGAGAAAGGGTCAAGGATAAAGAATAAAGGGAAAAGAATAAAGTATTTACGTGAATGGCTTAGTCTATTTAGAGGAAAATAATCATTCTCCATTATTTCATTTTGTAGGTTGTCTACCTTCATAACAACAATATCTCTGCAGTTGGGCCTAACGACTTCTGCCCACCTGGATACAACACCAAAAAGGCCTCTTATTCAGGTGTGAGCCTTTTCAGCAACCCAGTCCAGTACTGGGAAATCCAGCCATCCACCTTCCGATGTGTCTATGTGCGCTCTGCCATCCAGCTTGGAAATTATAAATAATTGCCAAGAAAGCCCTTGTTTTTATAACCTGGCAAAATCCCATTAATATCATTGCTCAAGAAAAAAAAATGGAAGCTAGATACTGGAAACTTAACTGCAATGTGGATCTTTTTCCCACACAATTTATAATATATAAAGCCAAATATGCAGTTTAAATAATTGCCTACAATAAAAAATATTTTGCCTGCCATTTTCAGAATTCTTTTTTGAAGCTTTCTGTTGATGTTAACTGAAATATTGCAGATATTCTTATTTCCCTAAACATAAAATTTAGAGTAAATATATATATATATATATATATATGTCAACAATTTAGTAAAGCTTTTCTTGTTTAATTTTTAGAAGGAATCAAATAAAAAAAGTATCCATCTTCTGTAGCTCCATAGGCTGTTAGATCCTTTGACATAAAGTCAAACCAAATTCTATCTAGCTCTGTGTTAATCCCCTATTATTGGTAAAGCCTCATTTGAATATGTAAATTCAATACAGGCTATGTAAGATTTTTGCTAATGTCATCATTTTGAAAAAAATAAATGTACAAATACATTCAAAATTACCATTGTATAAAAGTGTAATTATAAATCTTCCCTAAACCCCATTTTCTGAAGAGAGCAGACATTGTGTTCTAGACAAAAATGGCACATCTTTTCAAGTTCTCAGAGATTTCTTTTACTCCTGTTTTTTGACATTTGTGTATTATAACTTACATTATCTATAATCAGTGCTAAGCTGATAAAGCCCAAAGCTGATTTTTCTTCTGATTGGTCTAGAAAGCTGGTATTTTCAGTTACTAGGATACTAAATCAGTTTTATAACTGCGAATAATCAGGCTGCTCACCTGAATATTTCCATAATTACTAGATGTATTAGAAATAATTCTTGCATTTAGTTAAAACTTCAAATTTAGAATTTTTTCTTCAGGAATTATAGAGACCTATCAAAGCAGACCATTCAACAAGCCTGGGGAATGGGCTGATTTACAAAAAGTGGAGATTTACTAAACTACATTTATGCTATCAACATCTAATAAACAAACATGTGAGGATAGTTTGTTTTGTCTACAACGTTGGATGTTTTATGGTTGCAAATACAGATAACCAAATCCAAACTGTTATTTTTTTTAAGATTTTATTTATTTATTTGAGAGAGAGAGAGCACACACACAAGTACGCGCACGGGGGAGGGTTAGAGAGGGAGAGAGGGACAAGCAGACTTCCCCACTGAGTGAGGAGCCCAATGTGGGGCCCAATCTCAAGAGCCTGAGATCATGACCTGTGGTGAAAATCAAGAGTCGGATTCTCAACCAACTGAGCCACCCAGGCACCCCCAAATCCAAACTGGTTTAAACCATAATGGAAAACCCAAACAGTCCTGCTATTAGATGAGCCTTTAGGTTCAGTTTGATCAGAGTTCTAGCCAAGTTTCTCAGCAGTTCTTTCAACTTTGCCTTCCTTTATTACATTTTCAAGCTGGCCTCCCTTATGGTTGAAATATGAATCTCCCTCATTATTTACTACTCAGAACACAAAAGCATATCAACACAAAATTTCCAGGAGAAGTCATGAGATTCTCTCTAATTATTACATAGCAACTTCATAGCTTTATAGAGTAAATGAGCAAAGGTTATTGTTATTCCCAATTTGTAGAAAAGTAGACTGAAGTTAGGAGAAATTAAGTAACTTTCCTGTAGTCAAATACCTGGTAACCAAACTTTCTCTTTTAATCTTTGTGTAAGTCAGCATCTGGCAGAAAACAGAATTTACATCTGAGAGTTCAAATGAAGATAATTTAATGAAGGGACTATTATAGAGTGTGTGCAGAGTCTACTGCACCAAACAATGGATGACAAGGCACCAAGAGATGCCAGTGGTGGAAAACCGTTGCCGCCCAGATGGCTACGGGGGCAGGGGAAGAAGTGAGTTTCTGGAGCCAAGTGAGAGGACAACTTTGGAGGATTTCTGAGCCCAGGCAGCTATGTTCCAAGAAGGATGCCACATCTGCCAGAGGTTAGGTATGTCCCCTTCTCTCCTTCTACATCAGATCCTCCCACCGATGAAGCCTAAAGGGAAGACAACCATCAAGAAAGCTAGAGAGAGGAAGGTTCTTCTTGGTGCAGGACAGAGATGGAAGAAAAATGGATCTGGTCAGGGCACTTGGAGAGTAACTAAAAAGCCCAGGCACTATGATTATATCTGTAGGATTATTAAACAAATTTCACCAACCACAGATAAACATGATGTTCACATCCTATGTCATCCCAGGCACCTTTTCTGAAATCCAATCATTTTAGACTTTTCTGCATTAATCAGAGGTGCTAACAAACAAAACAATATTTATTTGATAAAACTTCATCAAATGATTAACTGAATCTGGTCTTCCATTAGGAAACATGGGGCTATTTTTATAATGGCTTTAACTGAAGCAGCGTTTTACTTACTTAAGAAATGGTTAGTGTTAAAAAAGTGTAAACAAAAAACTTACACTGTCAATATTAATGGGCAGTCAATTATGCATTATACATAAATTGCCAGAAAATAAAAATAATATTTGGATAATCATGAGAATCAGAACAGAGAGCTCTAAGCTCTTGTAGTCAAGGTCATATTCTCCTTTATAACAGTTACTGCCTGAAATATACAGTGCTTTATGTGAGCTATTTAATCACATGCTGGACTTCCATGAAGTGATCATATTAGTGATATTTATTCACAGTCTGGCATCAGGCAATAAATAAGTAGGAGAGGCTATTTCTTGATTCAGCATATTTCATTCATTCATTCATTCAATAAACTAGCACTGAATATATTATAAATATGAGACAAGTCCTGGTAGAAAGATAACAACAGCAATAGATATTAATTTCTGGAGTTTATTCGGTGCATACAAAGCTTCTGTGCTAGGCTCTTTTTGGTCCACATCTGCTTATCACAAAAATCCCATGAGAAGGTACTGTTCCTATTTCACAGATAATGAAATTCAGATATAATACATGCAGAGCCAGAGTTATAATTCTGATGTGTGCTAATTGAGTTAGGGTCAGCCTTTGCTTTCATCATAGTTTACAAACAACTATACAACTCAAAACATGTCAGGGCCAAAGGTGGAAGTCTGAAAAACTGAGAAAGGCATCTATTTATGGTTCTTAGTGGTTCCTCTGCACTGTGGTAACAGGTCAGTGTCCTGAGATGCAGGTGCCATAAACATAATTACTGTCATTTATTCAACACTATGTCTTAACTGTACATACAGTGTCTCATTTAATACTTACAATAGCCCTGTGGGCTATGTATGGTTATTTAATATCTTTTTTTACAGATGAGCAAATGAAGCCTCAGAGAAGTCAAGTAGTTTTTCCGTGGACACACAGCTTGTAAATAAGAAAGGCGAACTTTCCATCCTTTTGAAGTGTTGTCTGCGGCTACTTTAGAAAAGAATGTATTTGTGTCCCACAATGAAGAATCACTGAATATCCACAGCATCTTTCATCTTCTTTGCCATATGGTGAAGGGCTATAAAATAATGGGTCATCCCACCATTGTGATTTGTTACACTTCAAAAAGAATAAATTTGTTCATAAAAAAAAATGAAACTACACTGTTCAACTTTAAAAATGTCCTGTATCAGCACTGTCTAATATGGTACCCATTAGCATATCCAGGTAGGAGCACTAGAAATGTGATGGAACTGAAGAACTAAATTTTAAATTTTATTTAATTTTAATTAATTTAAAGTTAATAGCCATACATCATTAATGACATCACATTGGATGTGATGTTCTAAATACTCCAAATGAGTTTTAATTTTTTAAAGATTTTATTTATTTGCTAGAGAGAGAGAGAGAGCACAAGCAGGAGTGCAAGGGCAGAGGGAGAGGGAGAAGCAGGCTCCCCACTGAGCAGGGAGCCCGACTTGGGACTTGATCCCAGGACCCCGAGATCATGACCTGAGCTGAAGGCAGATGCTTAACCAACTGAGCCACCCAGGCGCCCCTCATAATGAGTTTAAATATGATTTTCATGGTGTGGAGTGTATTTCTATTCATGCAAAAATATTTACTAGGCTTGTGTCTAACTTAGGATATAAAAATGAATAAGAGGCCGTTCTTGACTTTAAGGTGATCATAGTTTAACAAAGACCAATCATTAAGCAAATAATATACAGAGGGATAAATTTTATCATTAGAAATACAGGCATATCGGGGGCGCCTGGGTGGCTCAGTCATTAAGCGTCTGCCTTCAGCTCAGGTCATGATCCCAGGGTCCTGGGATCGAGCCCCACATCGGGCTCCCTGCTCGGCGGGAAGCCTGCTTCTCCCTCTCCCACTCCCCCTGCTTGTGTTCCCTCTCTCACTGTGTCTCTCTCTGTCAAATAAATAAATAAAATCTTAAAAAAAAAAAAGAAATACAGGCATATCTTATTTTACTGTGCTTTGCTTTGTTGCATTTTGCAGATGTTGTGTTTTTTTTTTAAATGGAAGGTTTGAGGCAACCCTGCATTGAGCCAGTGTATCGATACAATTTTTCCAACAACATTCTCTCACTTTGTGTCTCTATCACATTTTGGTAATTCTTGCGCTATTTCAGGCTTTTTTCATTATTATTATATTTGTTATGGTGATCTGTTATCAGTGATTATAACTCACTGGAAGCTCAGATGATGGTTACCATTTTTTAGCAATGAAGCATTTTTAATTAAGATATGTATATTTTTTAGACACAGTGCTATTGCACACTTAATAGACTACAGTCTAGTGTACATATAACTTTTATATGCACTAGGGAACTAAAAAATTCATTTGACTCACTTTATCAGGATATTTGCTTGATTGCGGTGGTCTGGAACTGAGCCCACAATATCTCCAAAGTATGCTTCTAAACGCGAGTTACGGGAGTGGCTCATAGGAGGGATGATCAGCTCTGCCAAGGGTAGCCGAATGAGCAGAGAGGACCATGAAAGACTTCACTGAGGAAGTAATTTTTGTGGTGGGTTTTGATGAATGTGTAAGAGTTCAACAGGAGCATTTGGAAGAAGGGGCTAAAGGCAAGAGACTAAGTTCAAAGATGCAGGGGTGTGCCTAGGCACGTCTTCTTTGATAGGCTGACATAAAAAGGAGGTCTTCCTCAACTTCTTTACCTTCTTCTGAAACAGACGCAGTAGTCTGCATTTACCTTTAATACACACAGGGCTAGA